GTGGCGCAGCAGAAGACGGGCGTGGGAGGTGAGTGGACGGCGCCCCGCGCCCGGACCCCACTGTCTGGTCTGGCCAGAATTCAGGGGATTTCCTGTGGTCGAGCCTTTCCCCATCACTTTGTATGTTTTATTTTATTTCATTTTACTTTATGTTTTTTTGTGTGTGTTTTTTTTAGTAGGAGTCTCATCTGTCACCCAGGCTAGAGTGCAGTGGCACATTCATGGCCACTTCAGCCTCGACCTGCTGAGGTCTCACCAAGTTGCCCAGGCTGGTCTCGAACCCCTGGGCTCTGGCAATCCTTTCACCTCTGCCTCCCAAATTGCTGGGATCACAGGCCTGAGCGCTACCGTGCCTGACTCATTTTCTGTGTTTTAAACTATCTCTCTATCTTGAAATCTGACATGCATGCAGCAAAACACAGGAAGGTGGACAGCCTGATGCATTTTTAACACTCTGAACCCTTTATGCAGTCAGGATCCAGATCAAGAAACAAAATATTACCAACCCCCAGACGTCTTCTCCTGTCCCTACCCAGAGGTCATCACTATCTTTTTTCTTTTTTTACGTTTCGAGTCGGTCTAACTCTGTTGCCCAGGCCGGGGTGCAATGGCACACTCACGGCCACCACAGCCTTGTCCTGCTGGACTCAGGTGATCCTTCTGCCTCAGATTTCCAAGTAGCTGGAGCTACAGGCACGCGCCCCCATGCCCGGTTAATTTTTTGATTTGTTGTAGAGATGAGGTCTTGCCAAGTTGCCCAGGCTGGTCTCAAACCCTTGGGCTCAGGCAGTCCTCTCGCCTCTGCCTCCCAAAGTGTTGGGATTACAGATGTGAGCCACTGCTCCCGGCCACCACTATTCTTTTTCAAAAACATTTTTTTAGAGCCAGGGTCTTGCCCATTGCCCAGACTGGAGTTCGGTGGCACTGTCTCAGCTCACTGAAACTTTGACCTCTTGGGCTCAGGTGATCTTTCTGACTCAGCCTCCCGAATAGCTGGGACTATAGGCATGCGCCACCACACCCAGCAAATTTTTTTTTTTTTTTTTTTACAGATAAGGTCTTGCTATGTTGCCCAGGCTGGTCTGAAACTCCTGGACTCAAGTGATCCACTAGCCTTGGCCTCCCAAAGTGTTGGGATTTCAGGCATGAGTCACTGAGCCTAGCCCTTGCTTTCAATTTTACTTATTTTTTAGTTTTGCCAATCTGGTGGGTAAAAAAAGACCTCTTGCTTTTTTTTTTTTTTTTTTT